GAACTATATGTTTTTATTTTATTTATTTATTTATATTTCAAATTTAGATACCGCCCATCTCACAAAAAGTGACTCTGGGCGATCTATGCATTGTTGTTCTAAACTATTGCTATTTTAGATATTTAGATTCTGTCAGGACCATAGAATAAATCAGCCACATACAGCATACAGATCTCATACAGTGAATTCTGAATATGAAAATTGTTAGAATAATGAGAACTAAGTGGTAGAGTGCTGGTAGAATGACTAATGCCATCTAAGTCTATGTCTATAGAGAAGTATAACATGGAAAATATTTTTTCTCTCTTTTAAAAATGTTCATTAGATAACGCTCTCTGTTGATGTGGCTTTGTTTTAGAGTATGAAGGATCTGGGACAGACGTTCATAGAAAACATTCCAAATGTGGAGTTTGCAAGTATAGAGCTGAGTGTGATGAAGATGCAGAAAATGTTGGGTAAGTAGTGATTTTCCCCAAAGACACATGCTGCCTTCTCCCAATAGTTAAGATGGCCAGGGATAGGAACTAGTCTTAGCTTTTCCTAACACAGTGTTATTTAGCCTATTTTGAACTCTGAAAAGTGGCATGTTGCCAGTTTAATAACAACAACTGTAACAATGGGGATTTGATGTATTTCTTCATGAACAGAACTTTTATCTATATTACTGGTGTGCATTATAACATTTTGGATTCATGTTATAAAAAAATTAAAGTGTCATTTTTAAATCATTGAATAGTGAGAACAGGAAAAAGGGCTAGATTCACAGTTACATAGTACAGCACTGTATACACATACAACTATTCTATGTGTATCTATCTATCTGAAAAAATAGAAGTGGCTCTCAGTCTGTTGCTTTGAAGCAGAAAGCTGAAAGGGAAAGTGTTCCTTATGTTATCTGCCCAATGAGTTATCCATTTTCTTGGGATAAAATCACAAGTGGAGCCTGGATTAGGGATGCTTCATGTAAATGTTTCCTCTGTCATAAAGTTGGTGTTAATGGTGGTGGTTATGATGACATATCATTCTCTCAGTTTACATGTTATGGATTCATGCTTTAATTTATTCCTTGATTAACTGACATAGGATATGGCCTAGATCTTCTTACAGCAGTATAGCACTTCTCAGTGTTCTCATTCTGGAAATAAAGGATGGAAATTGATCTTTCTAACAACTCCTTCTTGTAACACCTTGTGCCTCCAGAAAAGCTGCCCTGGAAATTTCTGAGAGGAATTGTCTGAAGCAGCATGAAGGAGGAGGAAGGACTCAGCAGTGATTGGCTATGCTCACTACTTCTACCAGTCATGAGCCTCTGCAGTATCTTGGAGGTCTCTCTGGATGGAATAATTTATGGAGTAGCCAACAAATATACATGCATACACAAAAACACATATACAAGTACACATATCTGCACATCCATGGGTGTGTACATATGGAAGAAGTGGAATATAAACATAACTGCTTGCTGTGTCTGGTTCAGTGATTTAAAAAAAAACGAAGTTGATGAAAAGCGTATAAATGCTCTGAGAATTAAAGAACCAAGAATTTTATTCCACCTGCCTGCCTATCATTGCAGATCATCAGTTTTCCATAATCTGTTGAAGCATGCAACCATTATGAGGGAGTCACCTCAAGTAGCATTCTGGGAAATATCTATACTAACTATGCAAACTTGCATTTTTCATTCCTAGCAGTAGTCTGTAATTAGACTGTCAGCTGTACCAGAACTCATTACATTCAGCACAGAGATACAAACAATTGCACTTATTATCATTTCCCCCTTTCCTTTAACTTTTATTGGGCTTATTAAGAGAAAGCAGTGCCTTTTGAGCAGGTGGTTGTCATGAGCTGCACAGCACAGTTGGAAAATTAACATTTGGATACATTCAGATGAGTACAGTGTGTGATATTACTGCATATAAATATGTGAGCGAATCACACTGAGAAAATACCACTAAAATATAATTCTTCCTTGGTTTCCATTTCAGGTTTAAATAAACAACAGATAATATAGCTTCTGGGAGAAACGAAAGAGGTTATATAAAACACTCCCAAATATGTGGAAGTCTTATAGATTGCATAAACTCTCGAGTTACAATATCTTAATGTGTATCTCTTAACAGCCAATCTTCTGTTTGGCATAAATCACTATATTGAGCGATGCTGAGAATCTGATTAGAGGGAGAGAGAGAACTAGCTTTAAAAGGTGCACGAATAATTAGTTCTTGTACTGGTTACTTCATTAGGAAGAAAAAAAGGTTGATTATTTTAACTCCCTGCCATATCAACAACACCCTTTCCATCAGGCTACATGCTCACAGCACCCTCAACAACAGTTGAGCACAGAAAGTAGGACAAATTATAGCTTGGATCCATAGACCACATGCCTCTCCATTTCCTGTGGGGAATGAAATCAAGAGACAGATATTGCCTACAAAGATTATAGTTTATTGGTCTGGTGTCTATGGTTTGGCTGATTGCTTCGGGTAAAGAAATAGAGCTTTCCTGGCTTTAATTCAGCTTTCCACTTAAATTATGGACTCAGATCAGATTTTCAGTGGAAAAGCTTTTGGTGGATGGTAGTGGAGGTGCTCCTTAATCCTTCTACACCCACATTTTCTTCCCCTGATTGTTAGCCCTTTTCTTAAAATCCACACTTGGGGCTTTTTTTTTTTACCCAGACTTTTTCCCCAAGACCTATTTCTTCTCCTTACTTTTTTAGATGGGCCATCTACTTTCCTTCTATCTCAGATCAACAAGATGTGCAAGTGACAGCTAAAAACTCATAGATGTCCTCTTGATTTCCACATTATAACAAGGCAGCTGAACCTATCACAACCAGAAACTCCATTACTGTCTCAAAAATGTTTAATACGTTGTAGCATAAAGAGGATGGAAAAAAGAAAATCCAGGGATCTCTTTTCTTTGTTGCTTACTAAAAAGTTTTCCCCGCCAATGAGTTTCATGCACCAATAGATTACATCTGCTTCTTTTGGCTGTCTCACACTTTCTTTGGCCCCACAGTTACCTCTGCAAATTTATGTACCCATGCCATAATCACAAGAAGGATATTGTATTAGTTGATTACATCCACAGCAACAAAAACTTTTCAGATATAAGATTTTAATACTAGTGGTGGCCAAAAAAGGAACAAGAGCCAAAGCCAGTTATTGCTAGCCGATTCAAATAACATTTTGACCTAATGAAAAAGAAAGGATGTATACAGTCTTAATCATGCTTAGAGGAGACATATTGAAATCACTAAGATTTAATTCATTTTAGTCCTACTGTTTTGAAATGTTAACTGTGACTAAAAACTGGATTCAATTTTGAGAGTTAAGAGATCATGCTAAGCCACTCTGCTTGGTTAGGCAATAGGTCTCTGGAATGAAAATTAATACCCTTTAAGAAAAGTATCAAATTATGTAGAGAAATTAGATGTTCAGCTTACACCAAAAGCAGTATCCAGATAGTCTTATTTGAAACCTAGAAGTTGTATGGTGCAGTGTAATGGTTAAGGGACTAGAGGTGGAGGGACCTAGGTTCATGGAAACTTAGCCATAGGAATTCAGTAGGTGACAAAGTGACTTTGGGCCAGTCACTCTCTCTCAGCCCAATCTATCTTGCAGCATTATCACTGTGGAGATAAAATAATCTTCCATGTAAGCCATTTTAAGAACCTGGGGGAAAAGTGAGATACAAATAGTAAATAAATAAATGCACATTTAACTAAATATGTGATATCTATTTAAGGTCTATGAATCTAAGGATCTTCAAGCATAGTAGCATATTCTGAAAGGTGATTTAAATGCCATTTTTAATTATTTAAATGTTCCTAGCAGAAGTGCGGCTGTTTCCATACTTGCTCTGCTAACAAGTGGAAGAACTAGATCCTTGGCTTCTCCCCTTACGCCATGTTTCCTTCAAATGTTTGAAATCTGCAACATATTCCTTGTGTTCCTCAAGAAAAAGATGATTTCTGGGACAGGCTTTTAAATGTGAATAAAATGTGAGCAGAGATGCAGCCATTGTCTGTATGGATTAAGGAACAAGTTACTTAACAAGTACTTCTCTGTTGTTATATTAACACATGCAATTTTCCATGTGCATATGAAATTTGTCAGTGATATTTGGTTTGTTATGTTCTAAGGAGGATTGTTTAAATATAATTATCTTCCTGATCCCTGTAATAATGTTAATTACCTAGATTGCTGAACTTAAATGCTATTTGATAGAGATTTGCTGAAACATTACTGGAACTTAAGGCCTACTGAGATTTGCTTTCCTTTTCACATCTATATTTCAAAAGCCAGCTGTACCAAGGATAATTTGATTCAACTTCTCAAATGTGACTTTTTAAAAATAATTTTTTAAGAAACTAAGAAATGGCATCATCTTTTCCTAGTACATGGACAAGTGAGCATGCAGTATTAATTTGTGATATGCTTTATAGATACTTTACACATTTTTAAATGGAACATTGCATTGCCACCCCTAAAATATTCCAGAACTGAAAATATAGTGTCTGATCAGATTTGCAACCCTAGGATTTGGTTATTTCAAGACAGTATATGCTTATATTTGTATACATAGAGGCACATATCACAGGCTACTTTGTTCTTGGAGTTCCCAGATGACAGTCTCTCGTGACACCTAGTAGAGTCATGTGTTATACCAAGGATAGTTTCAAAAGACCTGTGTGATAAGTGGAGCTGTTTGTGGGGTAGATATAAAACTCCTATTGTATTTGTTTTAGTTATGTTTGGGAAGCAAGTAAGAATCAGTCTCATGGATGTCTTGGTCAATTCTTGGTTTATTTTCTTACCTTTTAAAGCCGTATTTGCCTTGTATCTTTGTGGACTGATCTATAGAGGGCAGGGCACAAATACTGTTTAGGCTAGGAATGTACATTTGCTGAATATTCAGTAATGGTGTCCAACTAGTTAATGCCGTAAAGCTGCTTCAGTGACCTTGTTGGTACCTCATGCTAAACCAAAAACAAGCAAGGCACATTGTGGTTTGATGTTATATCTGAACCTGGCTGCAGACTTCCCAGGTAACTTTTAGCCAGCTTCTCTCTGTCTCAGCAAAATCTACCTCAGAAGGTTGTTGAGCTGGATATTGCCTTGAACTCCTGGGATGTTAAAGCGGGTTGCACATATCACAAAGAAATCTACATTTTGTTCAAGGGAAATATTTGTCAAGGCAGATTTCTTTCTCTGAAGGTCCAAAAAGATGAGCATTGCTGCATCCTTCCTTGTTTAGTTAGGGTGACCCCTTCCAAATGGGCATTTGAACAAATTATGCCATTCTGCTTAGTGACCTGTTGTTTCCAATTACCCTTCAATGACACTGACAGGGTTGAATGGCACAGCTGGAAGCTTATGACTGGATGTATCCATGGCAACCCTTGGGATGGAACATCACCTCTCCCAAGGCAGCTTTGGTTGCTGACTGAGAAAGAGAAACCAATTTTTCATCACAAGCCGATTTGTTTTTAAAATAGCCAACTGTAGAACTTTACACTGCTGCAGGACAAAGATTTTAGTTGTTGTGGGAATAAAATACCCCAGTCAAATGTGTTGCCCCACTCCCATGCTCGCTGAGTCACAGGTGAAGGGCTCTTTAACTTCATCCCTTTTGGAAAATTATTGTCCGTGATTTCCAGGGTTGCTTGCACCCACCACCCTCCCAGTCAATTCCTGTGTCTCGATGAGAGCAGCACATACACCACTCAGTTCAGCTTTCTTTCTTTCTTTCTTTCTTTCTTTCTTTCTTTCTTTCTTTCTTTCTTTCT